CACTCAATGCTACGCAGAAGATGATGGCTGTGACGCCCTCAAAGCAGTGGATCCACTTCTTTCGCTCAGACCGCTGACCACCCACATCAAACATCCTGTGGATATACGATCACCTTAGCTCCAGGAAGGGAGCCCCGGGGGAGGCTTTCTGCCCTATTTCCCAAGTTGGCAGACTGAGGACAGAGGCCTGCCCAGAGTGGGCCAGCTACCTTCTGGAATCATCAACAATTGCCGACCTCACCCCTGGTTCTGGATCAGGGGCCTGGACAGCAGGCAGGCTGCGAGCAGCTGGCAGAGGTGGCGTGGATCCTGACTGCTGCTTCAGTAGGTGGTGATGATGTGCTTGCCCAGAACACGTGAGTCTTGCAAAACCTCAGTGGGGCTGGGGGATCCTGGACCAGCCCCTGCCTCTGCTACCCCAAAGGCTGGCAGGTCCTGCCCCTCCCACCTATCCACATGCTCACTTACTTGAAGTGTAAGTCCTTGAAGGTGAAGTGTGTCTCCACGATCCCCGTGGTCTTTACGCGGGTCCGTAGCACATCTTGCTGCGTGGGGATGCAGTCACTCTGTGCAATGCGCTCCAGGTCATTCAGGTAGCTGGGGGTGGGTTTGGGAGGGTCAGTGTGGGCCAGCGTGCGGCCTCCTTACTGGACCCTGGGCCAGCTGAAAGAGGCCGCTTCTCTCCCATGCTATTTCTCAGGCAAAATCCTTGCTGCTTTAACTCCTGCCTGCATTACCTCATCGCTCAAATGAAGAAACCTGAACTCAGAGCCCCTGGCCTCCCCGTTGTGGAATGGGAATGGAAGGAGGTGCAGCTCTGTGGCCAGCTAGCCAGCCAACCTTCAGCACCCAGGGTCTGAGCCAGGCCTGCCTCAGACAGGATCCAGGATCTGGTGCTACAGGCAAAGGGGGTGGGTGGGGGCAAATTAGTCCTTCAGTGAAGGATTCAGGATGCTAATCGGCGCAATTATGGCACCAGCCGCAGAGCAGCCTGGTGTGGTCCCTCGATGTGGGGCTGGACAGGTTGGGGCCTGCCAGGCCCAATGGGCTCTTTGCCCAGCACCCAATGAAGTCTGGGCTCCTCAGGGGGAGGGCACAGGCACCTGCTTGGCAAGGGTCCCAGGGGCTCCTCATTACCAGCTCCCTTAATTAGTATGAAGGCTGCCCCTACAGGGCCCTGCTCTGCTGCCTGCCTCAATATCCCTGCCATGCCCTAGAGGCTGGTTCTAGGCTTACAGGCTGCTGCCCTGGGCCAACTTCTCGTTCCTGGGGCAAGGCTGCTGGGGCCAGCCCTTAGCTTCCACCAGCAGCCAGGCCAAACCAGGCCAGAGGGAAATGATCTCAGAGTAGCAGGGACAAAACAGAAAAACAGGAAGGGCCATGGGGAACCATGACGCGTGTGCTGTGACCCACATACATGCCCTGCCCCCTACTGCCAGAACCTTCAGCGTGGAGGCACCATGGTGCATGCCACACCAGCCTCTCCCTTCTCCCCAACAGGCAGGTTCACCCCAGGGACCCCCTGCCTCACTGCAGTCGTGGAGGGTTGCTGTGAAGAGGGGCTGGAGGAGCCCTACTCCCTGTGGTGTTCCAATCTGCAACCCCTTCCCCTTAGGGAACCTGTCACAGCATAAACCAACCTGGGAGAGCAGGCCCTGTGTTCACTCCCAAATCTCTACTCCCAAAACTGCTGGGCACACAGTGGGTGCCTAATGCCTGGAGAATGGAGAAACAGGGTGATAGAGAAGTGGGAGGTGGCCTGGAGGTGGCTATATCCCTGGTTCCCTTTGAGTATCATGGGCACCAAGGTCCCTGACTCTCTGACCCTCAAGCTCTGCTGGTGGCTGGGCCCATGATCCCAGGGAGGGGCAGTGCTGAGGCCTGCGGGTCCCCACAGCATTTGGCTGTGACTCCACAACTCCTGTAGGGGGAACATATTCACAAGAGCGTTCAGGCCATGTAAGGAGGGTAGGGGGAGGCTGTTCATGTGGCTGAGGCAGGGCTTAGGAATCACAGCCAGGCAAGACCCTCCTCCTCCCACCTCTGGGGGGGGCTCAGGATTGGATGAGCAACAGGAGCAAAAGGGTGTTCCAGACAGAGGGGACTGGTGTAAGCAGAGATGCGGAGGTTAGAGTACAGGAACAACAGCCTATCTGGTGACACCATCCAAAGCCTGTGGATATCTCCTGCAGCCATCCTCAATGGCTAAATTTCTGTCTGTCCTGTTCCCCATGGGGTCCTCAGCACCCTGCACCCGTCCAAGCACATGGCAGATACCACAGAGAAGGAGTTCAGACTGTGGAAAGGGTGCAGGCCTGTCATGCCTCAGGGACTGCTGGGACTCCTTGTAATTCTCCAGCTGAGTCCTGGGCTCAGCCTAGGACCAGCAGGGGTCAGGGCTGAGGTCCAGGGGCTCTGACCTGCACGCACACCTGTCACCGCCCAGATAACTTCTTCCCCTTGTGCCCCTCCAGCCAGCCTGCACAGCCTAAGTTCAAGCACAGCCAGCTTTCCACCACATGCTGCAGGATATTACCCACCCCCGCCTGGATGCTGCACAGGCTATGCCCCGCGCCTGGAACCCCATCACCCACTCCTCCCCTGGCTGACTCTCCTTCAGAGCTCAGCAGTTCTGCCTCTGGGCCAACCCCACCTCTACTGTGACACTAACACCCTAAATTGTCACTGCATGGGGACTTTGCTCCACTCATCGATGTGTCCCTGAGGCCTTGCACAGGGCCTGGCAAAGAGCAGGTGGCAGTAAATGTTTTTTAGAAGACTGTGTGTCAAGAGATCAGGCTCAACTGGCCTGGAAGAAATGTACTGTATAAGCCACCTGCCTGTCATTCCTCCTGGCCTTTCAATACTGTGTCACCCAGCCACCCCCCCCAAACCAAAAAACACCAAGGCCTTAGTTGATAGTCATCAGTTTCATGAACAAAGACCAGCAGTGTCCTTCTGTGGGTTCTCAGGCCCTCCAGTCCAGCCTTTGGTCCTCCCCCACCCCCTGCCCTGCCCAGCCCCTTGGAGCACTCACTAGGCAGCTGAGTCGTTGAGCTGGTATTCCCTCGAGCGGCCAAAGCAGGCCTGCACACCATGGTCAGCCCAGAGCCTCCGGATGACGCCGGACAG